TTTTTCCGCCACTTTTTTCCGCCATTTTTTATGCGCCATTTTTTTCCGCCATTTTTTATGCGCCATTTTTTTCCGCCATTTTTTTCCGCCATTTTTTATGCGCCATTTTTTTCCGCCATTTTTTTTATGCGCCATTTTTTATGCGCCCCTTCTATTCGCCCTTTTTATGTTGGCGCCTAAGGTGGAAGAGGTACATATGCGTCATGTATATTATACGTACAATGTTTAGCGTATATGTTTAGCCCTTTGCATTTTTTGCGTTTATTTGCTCTAGGATTATGCATATAAATAATTGTCTTATACTTGTGTCACATCTGCGTTATATTTATACGAAATTTTCGCAAATTTACCCTCATTCTACATTGATTTTGTACTCATTTTGTGCTCACTTTACGCTCATTTTATGTGCAATGCTGCCCCAAACCGTAGGCGCGTAATACAGGTGGCAAGTGAATTCTTCAAAAGTGAGAAGTCGTATATTAGGCAGAAAATCTTGTCCAACGAGAGGGGAATTCTTGCGCATGTTTATTTTCTTAAATATTTTCTGTCCATTTGGCACATTTCTATGTTTATTTTTTTCTGGCTCCACGGGAAGCAACCAATCATGCTTCTGCTTTTGTAGCGTTTTACGGCCATATGGACATGAACGCGCCGGTATGCTTTTCTTACGTACGTACGTGCCTAGCTACGTACGTATATAAATGTTCACCCTCTGTTCGCGCCAGTTGCGCAGGTTTGCTCGGCCCTTTCTCTCCATGTTTTTGTGCTTTGTTGAAAGCCTTGCCCTTTTTGTAAGCTTCTCCTTTTAAGGATGCACGCCTTTGCATTTCCCGTTGTTTCGACCCATCACACACCGTGACTCTTTTGCTTTTCTTTCTTCTGCAAAGCACGGCAGAGAATTTAGTCGCCCCAAAGGATCCCCAGTCATTTGCTCAAGTGCGACAGCAGCTGCGATTGTGGCTGGGTTTGCCCATTTTTATACATATGTATATATATGTACGTATATATATTTTTTTTTATTTCTTTTTACCCCATGAGCTTCTCTTCCCCCCTTCCCGCGCCATATTTACGTTGCACGTAAAACGGATGAGAAACATGCTTTTGCTTCCGCTCCCCACCCTCCCACTCGCGCGTCATTCCCCGACTGCAACAGATCAGACGCGCGTTTCTCTTGATAGTATACTTCGCCCCAAAAGCTGAAAAAAATGAACCTGGCTAAATTTTCCTTTGCCCATAGAAACCTTTTCTTCATTTCGAAATACACCATCAGTTCGTTAAATTATTTCTTCACTCGTGAAAAAAAAAATTTACTGCCAAAATATGGGGTTACAAATTTTTTATACCATAATGAGGTAGCGTTAACAAGGGGAAATAACGTCTATGACGGCGTTTTAAAAAATTCAGTCCTTTTGAATGAATCCATTTTTATGTCCAATTTGGAAAAAAAAAGCCAAGAGAAATCAGCCTTTGAAAGGCCTCAACAGGTTGACCCTTACGCGTGCGAATGTTCCGCATGGATGGTTTACTATGCCGTATATTTGCCTTCCGACCATTATCATGACATGGACCACCACGGCACAATGTAATCACTCAGTTCAGCTTAATAAAAAAAATCCTCACACCTTTTCTTTTTTTAACCGCACAGGAAATCTTACATTTTAAAAACAAAAAAACGAGATTATCCTTGAGGAGAAAAAGAAAAAGAATGGGCGAGCGTGTCAGCTTAAGATATCGATGATGCTGCGTGGCAGTGTTAGTAGCAACTGCACAAGCTTAATTATGTCTGGATAGCCCTTGTTCGAAGTTAGCACAGTGGCCTAGTCGGCTGCGCATATATGTGCTACGCGCCTTGCGTTCGTTTCGTCCACGCGCAGGAGTGTATATGTCCACTTGAATAAAAACACGGATACACACACACATCTACTCTTCGCACATTTTGAACTTCCCTTTTTTTTGGGGCTCTGCTCAGAATTCGTCCCGTCCCCGTCTAAATGGGCAAGGCAGAACGGATACCAATGCGATAACATGCATATATAGACCTTTTCCTGTGTGCCCTTTTTTTTTTTTTTTCGTCATTCTTCACTTGGTTCTGCACAGAACAGCCAACATACGGAAAATGCTTACACGACAATTCCAGTGATACAACAAATTTGCCCATTTTGTCCGCCGCTGCGCCGGTAAATTTTTCGCCTTAAAAGGGAGAAGTCAAATTGTGAAAAAAAAAGAAAAAGCATACAATGGCATTCGTGTCAGCATATAAATGTGGTTTATTGGGGACAATTTTTAGCCAAATGAAAAGCTGACTGGATAAGGAAACACAAAATAGTTCCGCCTCATGACGAAAGGAATGTCTTTTTTTTTTTTCTGTGTATCAAAAGTTATTTTTATTTTTTTTTTAATTTTGTTGCTTCACAATTATATCTCTTTTTGGTCGACGCGGCATAGTTCAAGCTATGTTGCTGAGTCGAGCAAATTCACTTGGTGATATTGCTCAGAGGAAAAAGAAGTCCATCGTCGTCAGCAAAAGGAAAAGGCCTTGCGTGTGTATTTGTGTGTTGAGGGGAGTAAAACAATTGAGTTCCCAATTTGCTGTAATTATCAATAAAATATTTTACCCTCAGAATGGCGCTTTGTGGCACAGGGGGAAAAAGAAAAAAAAATCACCGATCACAAAAATTAGTTTCCAAAACACAAATCCCTTTAAGGCAGCGCGGCAATGAAAGTGAGTTATTTTTGGAGTTGGGCTTCACCGCCCTGTGCAGCTGTATCTTGTTTCACACAGCGCACTTGAGCCCCTTCGCTCAGCTCGCCTCAGTGTAATTACCTACCTTGCGGAGCCACCTCGCCTTGGCACATAAAGAAAATGTTCAAACATAGGTGGAATAATAAGTAAAAAAAACATTGCTGCACCCCCCTCATGCGATGGAATATTTTATTTAAAATTTGCGCTGTTTTTGTGGTTCCCCTTCTGTGTATCACTTTGCATGCCATTTTGTTCACGAACGACCCCGGCACACATGCTCGCAGGAGGGATACTACCCACTCAAATATTTGGCAACTTGGGGGGGAGCGTATTCTTAAGGACCAGCTAGGAAGCAGAAAAGAGAACCTCTTTGTTGGCCCACTTTTTTCGTTCTCAGTTGAAGAAGGCACTACCATATCTTTTTAACAGCTGCGTTAGAATTTCCGCGACCCTTGTGTTACGTTTAGCGTTTCTAACTATTAACAGAGCTAACCAAGAGCATAAACCATTGGGATGCCGGTGCGAAGAGAAGTGAGGCAGGTTCAGTGTCCCCCCTTTCGCAGCCAATTAGAAGAAGAGTAGCACAGTGGCCTATTACACGCAACTACTTCGTCGGACATCACGAACTATGTGGTGAAAATATTCATGTGAAGAGGAAAGAAGATGGCGAAATTGAAAAAGAACAGCATGATGTTTTGGAAGAGGGACAGCAGCGAAGGGTCGTATCTTTACAACATGTTAAATGGACTGATTTGTGTCAGTGGGATCTATTTTTTCTTTTTAATTTTTGGATACTATCAAGAAAAATTACCAAACCTGGGAAAGGGGAAGGACAAATTTTACTACAATATATTTTTAATATGCATTTTGTGTTTCTCCAACAGTGTGTGCAGTTTAACGGCGGTGTTTATTAAAAGTAAAATGAACAATGAGAATTTTTTACAGGACTTAAAGAAAAACGTGGACAAGTATTTTATCAAACAAATAATGCTAATATCTGTGACGTATTCAATAGCAATGATAGCAACAAATTATTCCCTAAGTCATGTTAATTTTCCAACACAGGTCCTCGTAAAGTCAGGCAAAATGATACCTATAGTTGTTGGTGGGTACTGCTTTTTTGGGAAAAAATATCCCTACTATGACTACATTTCTGTATTTTTAATCACCTCATCGCTAGTAGTATTCAACTTGTTAAGAACAAAATCATCCAAGGAAGTTCACCAGACAACTTTTGGACTGCTCCTTTTATGCTTATCCCTAATCTGCGATGGGTTGACTGGACCAAGACAAGACAAGCTCTTGAGCAAATACAACGTGAACTCGATTAACTTAATGTTTTACGTAAATATCTTTGCCTTTTTCTTTAATCTCTTGGCTTCACTAATTATTGAAGGTTCCAAGCCCTATAACTTTCTGTCCAAGTATACCACTTCATACTACTACATTTTAGCTTTCTCAATTAGTGGGACCCTGGGACAGTTTTTCGTTTTCTACTCGCTCAAGGTGTATGGCAGTTTGTATACCAGTCTGTTCACCACTCTAAGGAAGGCGTTAAGTACAGTCGTTTCGGTGTACCTCTTTGGCCACGTATTGAAGCCTTTGCAGTGGGTCTGCATTGCCGTCATTTTCTCGACGCTCATTATACAGAACTACCTGAAGCAGCAGGCGAAGAAGGTTCACATGAAGACCAAGTGATGCGGGGGTGCCTCGTCGTTCAACTTATCGGCCCTGTCGATGCTGTTGATCCTGTTGATGCTCCTGGGGTGGGGTTCCCTCCGTGCTTCTCGCGCGGCGTATCCCCATTCACGCACTGTTTTTATTGCCCTTATCATTCGCCATTTTCTGCACCCCTTTATTCACCCTTCTATGCATCTTTTTTCCCCCCCTTTTTATGCACTTTCCTTTTTCACCCGCTGCTACCCCCGTTTCCCTCTGCTGGCCGGAGAACGCGAACTCCTCTACAAATGGCAAACGTATGCATTTGTTATGTCCATTTTTAAATTGTAAATAAGTGCAAAATGTTTGAAAAGGCTAAACATACAAAAAAGGGGAGGGCCAACTAGCGCGCATGCAGATGTGTACATGGGCACATATATCTACGTGTACACACACATGTACACAGACATGCACGGGGCGGCGTGGGCGACAATCGTTCCGCATCCGAACTGTGTGTCGCATGCATGTGGAAAGGCAGAAACCTAGTTAGGGTGCCACGGGCTCGTTAAGCATAGGGCGAGTGCTGCGTCTGGACCTACGTGTACTTCTTCCACGTCTATGACGCATTCTACTTCTTCTAAGTCTTCTACTTCTTATTGTGCGGGGGACGCGAAGGGGCTTGAGCAGGCGAAACTCATTTACGCACATACATACGGACCTACATACATAAGGAGATACATACACACATACATACATAATACATACGTACGGGTTGATGTACAGGAAGCCTCATTTTGGAACAGCCGCAAGCTGGGGGGAAAGCAATCTAATTGAAGCCCTTCTCCAGCAGACGCGTGACGGCGGAATTTACGTCCCCCCCAGTCTCTTGTAAAGCCTGGATATTCGCATCATTGTCAATGAAGCCCATCTCTTGGAGACTCAACAACTGGGCGGCGTATCGCTCCTGAGGTGGCCTGTTATCAGCAACATTGGGTGTGTTGAAATCCATATTTTGTCCGACACCAGGAAAATTAAAATTGCCCAAGTTACGATTGGCCCGCATAACTTGTTGGAACGTCTGCAGCAGTTCGGGAGACTGGAAAAGAGAACTCATGTTGTTCAGATTGTTATTGCTGTTACTGTTGTCACCTGGGGTTCCTGTACCAGCACCTGCATTGGCATTTGCAAAATTGTTCAAGTTATTCAACATATCTTCCATTCTTAATCCCTGATGATTATTTCCTGCATTATTCGCACCAGTGTTGTTCCCTCCACTGTTCATATTCAAAGCATTCTCAAACTGTAAGCCTGCCTGTAAAAATTCCGGCCTCATTAATTCCCTTAATAGGTTTGGATTTTCCAAAACGGGCTGCATTATAGGGCTCTGTGAAAATGTGTTCCTCAGCAGTGGGTTATTTGACACTATGTTGGCTAGCATCTCCGGGTTGTTACTAATTTCATTCATTAGGGATCTCGCGAGTGGGTTGTTTAACAAAGAGCTGATGCTGTCTCGATTTATTTCCCCATTTCCTCCAGGGTTTAGAAAATTGGCGAACGCGCCCAGGTTGAAGTTGTCTCCCCCTCCTAGTCCTGCGTTCAGGTTCATGTCTCCTGTGTGTGTGTAGAGGTGGGGAGGGAGAGGAGCAATAAGAAACGGGTACAAAAAACAGAGCGTAGAACTATACAAACAGATGGATACGTAACCGGCCATAAAGGCGCTTCTACCCAGGGTCAACGTGACACCCCGTGCACGAAGAGGTACCTCCCGCTCCACTCTGAAGAAACATCTGAACCAGTGGATTGTCGCTAAAGTCATTCATGTTCTCGCTTGGATTTCCGCCAGCGTTGGGGGCTGGGGTAGCGCTCGGGTTGCTTCCCGCTCCTTCGTTCTTGTTCGTCTCCTTCTCAGCTTCAGCTGTGGGGATTGAGAATAGCAAATTGATTCATCAGTGCATAATTACAATTGGGCGCTTAGGGGTAATCACGTGGGTTACACAAGACAGCACATTTATTGGGGTCTTTTTTTTTCTTCTTTTTTCCACTTACGCTCCTTCACAGGGGCCGCGCTGCGAACCAAATGCATGGTGATCCCGTCGCTTACGCCATACGTTGTTAAGGGTTCTTTATCCTTCAATATTTTTCCTGAAATGGGGAAATAGGGGGAACAATAACGCATTAGTGGGTATTCCCTCTGGAGGTACTAATCTTCCGGGCCACAGGGGCACGCACCGGGAAGATGAGCTATGTGACGAAGCAGCCAAGGAACAGACATGGGGGAGGACAATATACATTCATTAAAACGGATGGAACTGTCCTCTAAAGGTGGTTTTCTACACCATTTTCCTCTTTTTTTATCGTTCCTATTCCTTTCTCTGTTTTGTACCTTTAAAAATAATCCTCTGGCACTCAACGGGGATATCCACATGCTCAGCACATTTTTGCTTTAATTCCAATACGGTCATTTCTGGTTCCACCGAAACGGTAAATTCTTTGCCCCCCGTAACTTTGAATGACACGCAGATGGTCATTTTGGTTCTTTCTCTACAAAGCAGAAGTGTTGTGGATTTTCTTCTGGGTGAATGCCTCGTCACTGGAATTGGCTATCTTTTGTCTGTTCACTTGTATGCAAGAGAAATGCACAAATATGTATGCGCCTGTTTCTGTGCAGGAACTTTGCTATTACTGTGAGGGGAGTCGTTGCTTACGGCAAAAGGGATGTGCTAGCTAAACCGTATGGCTTTACAATCCCGTTTGCAAAAAGGGCTCGTGCTACTCGTTTAAAAGGGTTGAACAGGTAAAATCCGCTCAGCAGAAAATTTTTCATAAGTGTCATGGGAAAAAAATTGTCGCACGCAGTTCGTGGCACTTAGTGAGACTCAATTTGGGTACTCGTTTGGGGTACGCAGCTTCTGGCACTAAATTTGCAGTTCGTAATAGTATATTTTTTTTTCCTTTTCCTGTAGTGCTCACATGTAGGCGCATACTTGTTATTCATT